ACAGGGGCAACTCCGTCAAGGTGAGGAGCACAAGGGATTTCCATATTCATCATGGTTATTGCCAATCAACAGAGAGGAATGGTATTATAGCAATGATATGTTCACAACTAGAATTAAATTCAGCAAGTATTTATTGCTTGTCTACTAAGTGCCAGACGTTATGGTAGGAACTGAATTTACAGACGATGAGATGCATGATTGAGGCGTGGAGTGAGGCCGGGAAGAACGGTGAAGGTAATTGATATTTAATAACTCGCTAATAAGTTAGCTATGTTCTAGGTAAATTTGAGGCAAACTGCTTTTTTATTTGATGTTCATAGCAATATTTTGAAATTTATGTTATAGACCCCAATTAAAGGTTGGAAAACCAAGGCCCACGTAGTTCAGTAACTACCGAATGTTGCATGCCAGGGAAGTGGCTCCCCTGGGGACCGACACCAGCTTTTTGGCTCCAAGTATCATCAGCTTTTAACTACATGGCCCTCCATTCCTAACTTTGGTGTAAATCCAGTTGCTTATACTGCTCATAGAATTGTAAAAGAAGTTGAAAAAATGATCAAATGTTTTCCAAGGGATATTAGTAAAGATTTCACACAGGAGGTAACTACTTGATTAAAATTTCACAGGTAGATAAGAGAAGAATCCTAGTTCCAGAAAAAGGAAAAGGAATAGTATTTTGGGGAATCAAAAAAAAAAGCCTGTGAGGCAAAATTTTAAAATTGTGGCTTTTATAACTGTAACAGAATTTATATATAAGGAGTTGGGGTGAGGGAAGAACCGAGATAGATTTTTTAAAAAGCAACTTTAAGACTTACTTTACATATCACATAATTCACTAATTTTAATTATATAATTCAAAGACTTTTAGTAATTTTACCTAGTCATGCAACTACCACCATCCGGGTTTTAGAAAATTTCACCCCTCCCCCATAAAGATCCCTCATGCCCATTTACAATGAATTCCCATTCCCTCCCTGGAAACCACAAATCTTTCCATCTCTTTGTTGGCCTCTTTGGAACATGTCATATAAATGTGGCCCTTTTCTGGCTTTTTTCACTTAGCATGTTTTTAAAGTTCTTCCATGCTGTGGCACATAACGGTACTTCATTCTTTTATGATTGAATTCTATTCCATTGTATGGCTCTACTAAGTTTTGTTATCTATCCATCAGTTGAATGCCTGTTCTCTTTTTGGGCAATTATGATTAATGCTGACATGGACATTTATGTAGACATATATTTTCATTTCACTTGGGTAGATACTTATCTAGGAGTAGAAATCCTGGGTTGCATACTTGTTTTATATTTAACTTTTTGAGAAGCTGCCAAACTGTTTCCTGAAATGGGTGCCTCAAGCCAGCAATGAGCTAGAGTCACTCTTTCTCTTATTCCTAATGGCACTTGTTACTTACTGTCTGCCTTGTATGTTATAGCTGTTAGAGTTGGTGTGAAATGCTATCTTGTGGTTTAAATTTGCATTTTCATAATAACTAATAGTGTTGAGCAACTTTTTATGTGCCCAAGACATAAATCCTACAGGCTCTGTTTGGATAACGCATTAACTAAGGTGGGGAACATCAGAAGATGAGTGGGATTCATAAGGAAGATAACAGAGCTGCGAGCTGTCCACAGTACATGGAGTTGCAGACGTCCAGAGGACAGAGAAAAACTGGAATGTGGAACTCAGAAAAGGATTTAAAACAGGACACATAGATCTGGAATTGTCTACACAGAAAAGGCAGTGAAATCATTAAACTAGATGAGTTTACTGGCAGAAAAAATGTAGAGCAAGAAGCTTGAGAATAGTTAGGAATATCTGTTTCAGAGAAACATGTAAAAGATGGTTTACCAGTGAGCTTTAGGAGACATAAGAGAGACTGGTGTTATGGATGCCATTGGTAGAAACCACATTTTTGTTACATTAATGTTAATATTCTATTAATGTTTTATAGTATTATTGCACTATTATGTTATAATGTTATTGTTTTATTAATGTTAATATTTTACGTATATTTGCAATTTTTCTTAACACACAAATTAATAAATTTAGCCACATTGGAAATGTTGTTTTACAATGTTATATTTCTACTTAATGTTATGTTATTTATATTTTTCATGTCACTAAATAGTCTTAAATTTTTTGAATGTCTGCTTTTAAGATATTGCATTATAAATAGGTACTAGAATTAATTTATTCTTTTATTTTGAAACTTTAAGTTGGTTTCTTGTTAGTTTTTTAAATACTACTGCAATAAACATACTAGTATTGAAATATTTGTATAGATCACTTGTAATTTTTCCAGTTTAAATTCTTAGAAATTGGAATTTATTGGTCCAAGTGTATGAAAAATTTAAGGGTTTCAAATTGCCTTCCAGAAATACTTTCCTTTACCCAAGCAGTGTGTGAAAATAATGAGCCAAAGGTACAGAATGTAAAAAACTTTATAAACATAAGAAAAATATTGAACATTATTTACTATTTGAGAGGACCTGTCTTTAACATTGTTCTGAACACCACCTGGTGGTAACCACCAATGAGCACTTTATTTTTAATTTTAAAATTATTTTATTTTAAAAAATAAGTTATATATATTTAAGGTGTACAACATGATAACTTTATATACATATTCATAGTGAGATGATTACAATCAGATTTGAAAAGAACAAGGGAAGGCCGACAATAGCAAAATAGGAAGGTGAAGGTCATGGACGCTGGCAACTACATATCCACTGGTAGCATTCGAAAATCAATTTCCCTTGAGGTAACAGATACCAAATTTTAATTCTTAAATCCAGAATCTTGTCAAAATTTTTCTTGTCCATTTATTTTGCTTCTTTTGAATAACCCTGTAGTTTTGAAATTTTTTTACTATATAGGGAAATAGAGGTTTTAAAAATCAAAATTTTTTTCAGGGATGTCAATCTTTTTAAATCGCTGCTCTTTTTCCTTCCCTTTTTATCCATGCTCCCTCAATTATTTCTTCAGAGCTTGGGTTGGAATTCTTGATAAATAGCTTCATAAATGATGCTACAGAAATAAATCAGGGACAGTCTGTCATTTGTATAGAGAAAGAATAAGCCTTTGGAACTCGGTGTGTGAACTTTCATAATTACCATATTTGATTTTTGTTCATGTATGTTGTGGGAATAGTATTTAATGTCACTGAGTCATTGAAGGGATGTCTGTTGAGCTCATTAATGTCTCTCATTCAGAGAACCCTTTATGGACATCTACTTTGTAAGTTGATTACCATTCGTGGGAAAATATTTGACCCAAATACTCTCTGCTCCTTTGTGACATGGATCATAATTCTATCACAGTGAGCTGTTCCCCTTCTCAACCACAGAGAAATATAATCCAGCCACTCCAAATACACATAAATCCTGTTCTTCCTTTTATAAGCTCACATTGGAGCCTGAATTTTTTGTTTCTTTCTCCCCCTTTTTGATTCCCAAATGAGAAAAGTTTTCCCCAACCCCATTTTTAATAGGATATCTAGCCCTAAAGCCAGATCTGGAAAATTCTGACTGTTCATAATTCTGAAAAAGAACTTCTCCAATTCCCTCAGGATGATGCCTTTTTAGGAACATCTACGAAGACACATGAATGACTGAGTGGATGGACTCATTTCTTAAGTTGTCTTTAGTTGGGTGTTTCAAATGTAGACTCCTGGTATCCTTGCTTTATTATGTTGGGATAACAAAATCCAAATACAGTAACTTTGGAGAAGCTGTAAGATCGATTTACCTTGTGACATTTTCCCCAAGTCTTGATAGAGCTCCTTTATCTCTCCCTGGAAGGAGGATCTCCAAGTTCCCCAAACACTTCTTTTACAGTTATTCCAGCCTGCTCTTGAAATGGTTCTGGGAGAATAATGATCTAAAAGCCTGACGCTTCCAGGGGAAGGTATTCAGGACAAAAGTAATATCTTAGCAAGTATAATATCTATTAATTTTCTGACTCTCTCATTGAAGAAACACAACTGCAAGGCACCAAGTTTACCATGTGAGTACCCATTAGAATTTCGTTATACTTCAAAGCCTTGTGATTTTTTAAATGAACTAGAAATGTTTGGGGAGATATATTCTTCCAAATATTTCTTTGTGAGACATGTTTTGACATTCAGTGAATTCATAGTCCAGTGCAACTCTGGAGAGAACTTAACTAGTGTAGATCAGCTAAGTTTCATGAGGGTTTGTGTTACAAACACAAATTTTGCTTTAGATAAAATAAAAAGACTTTTAACAGTTCCTCCAATGTAGAAATAATAAGGAATTAACATACTTTCTCAGTCAAAAGTGGAAAATTCAATTGAAGTGAATTACTTGTGATACAATATATTTAGAATCATAAAATAATAATTAGAAGTAAAATAATTCTTAGTTTAGGATATTTAGAAAAGCTGACCACTGTAAGAAAGAGCACAGATGTGGTTCACAGGAAAGGCATTAATGTTTGGGTCAGACAGAATTCAGTTACATCACTTTTTTAATTAAAGCCTTGAAATTTTATCTGAACAGATAGTTTGGGTGTTGTAAAAATGAACAGGACAACAAGATAAAAGTTATCATGCTCCTTATGTAAGAAGTAGGAACACCACAAAGTTATTCATATCTATTCTGTGTACTACACAGTGAATGTAAAAACTAAAGAAGTAAAAATAATATCAGAAATATGTACTATGCAAATTTATTTAGCACAAAAATGTTTGAAAATCATGATTTGTAAATTAAGTAAAAACTATATTATTGCAATAATATCTATCTCTAAATGTCTTTGAGAATAATTTATGTGCTCAATTAATTATATCTAAAATGTACGATAGCAATCGTTTATTTTACTTAAAATATGATTATTAGTATGCCAGGTAGATTAAAAAATACATACTGTACTCAATTATCTATATCTAAAACATACTATAACAATAATTTTTTAATTTAAAATACAATTATTAGTATGCCAGGTAAATTAAAAAATACATGTTGTGCTCAATTATCTATATCTAAAACATACTATAACAATCATTTTTAATTTAAAATATGAATATTAATATGCCAGGTAGATTAAAAATACATGTTACTTAAATTAAAAAACGATGTCACTAACATCAGACATATTTTGGGGCTGATTTTTCATTTGTGGTACAGCATACAACAGAGGGTTTTCTTTGTATAGTTATATCGACTATGTAAGTTTCAAACTCATGATGGTAGCATTGTCACACTTCATTTAACCAATGGGTCTGGATTGTTCTACAGTCCATTGGTAAAGTGCAAACTGAGCCCTTGGGCACCCTGTTAGCATGGAGGCAGAAATTTCTTTCCTGCGTTTTTGTCATTTTTAATCACATGACAACAGGAAATATTTTGATTTGTCGTCTTGCACATATAGCTCTTACTGATACTTACTGATACTTGTCTCTTCCACTAACCGCACGCTTGAGGAGGCCTAGACTTTGGACCTCGCCCTCTTCAGTTCTAGGCCACGCAGAATCTTTAGCAGGATCTTTCTCAAACTCTGTTGTGTTGTTTTTTTCTTAAGAATAGTTCATAACTTTCTATTGCACCTTATGCAAACATAAACCTTTTATAAAACTTAACGGAGAGTTAACACTCTCCTTTCATCTGACCCCTTCCCTTGTAGCAATCTCATTTCCTCTTGCTCTTTGGGGCAGTTTCTGTTGTGCCCAGGCCCATAGTCTAGTGCCCAGGCCTGTTTTTAGCACAGACTTGCTCCTGCTTCCTACCTGTGCAGATGTTGCTCTTTCAATCCCTAGGAGCCCGCTGCTTCTCCAGGCCACCAATTCCATCTTTAAATGGGTCCTTTAGAGAGCTTTTTCCTTGACTGACCCGAAATCAATTATAGGATAAGGTCTGTGACACTTTTTATGAGCTGTGGGAAGGGGTTTGTTTACCTGACATTCCCATATTTCCGAAGCCTGGCTGACCCTCCCCTCGCCTCAGCACCACCACTGAAGTCTGATCTCTTCCCTTACATGCAGCAAAGTGCCCCAATAATACCGATTGTTTAATTAAGAAAACATTACATTTCGTGTGTTTATATGGAATTGGTTAACTGAGTTAATGTTACATGTTGTGTATCTATCCAGTCTTAGAATGCCTTGGCTTTCTAAATATGCAATGCTTTATTATTTTCTAGGGCACAGAAAAATTGGCATATTTCATTCCTTATTATTAAAGTGAATGTGAAAAAAAAGATCTTGGCATTGTTAATACAAAAAAAAAAGAAAGACGATTACTATTTTCAAATAACGTATGTAGCCTGAGCTTTTATTAGTATCTCTAAATTGTTAGCATCTCCAAATGTCCTTGCATTTTAAACTATTTCAAAAATTGTGTTTCCATAACAATTTTAATTGGATCGCTTGTGATGTTATTTTAATCATGGTAATCAGCCACAACATGTAATTAGATTTCAATCAGAAAGTTTAATGCTATGTTTCAGTCTGAGTAGACACATAAAAATGTATGTCTTTGTGCGCTTCTTCTCCTGACCTCCCTCTACACCACTCAAGTGGACTGAAAAAGGTAGCAGAGGTTGCTTTCCATTTGTCCCATACAAAGTGAAAAATATTGTCCGCACTTCCCCGGAAGTCTATTACTTCTCTTATGACCAATAAAACGGACTCATTTTTAGAATGGCTGCTTCGGGTTGTGAGTGCGCCTCTGGGGCCGGGTCAGCGTGGGTGGGGAGTGCGGCAGGGGCGGCGTAGGCAGCGCAGGCCTGGAGGGCAGGTGGGAGGGTTCCCTCATAGCTCCTGCGGCTCTACTCTGCTGCTTTCTGGGTCTTGAATCACCAGCTGTGAATTATTCTTTTTCAGTTCTTAGTATTACTAGCTGTCTTCAAAGCCCACTTTTATGGTCTTCCATTAATCATCAATGTAATTTTAGAAGTCAGAATGCATGAGGCTCAGAGCTAATTACGCATTCTATTATGCCTTTAGATATCTGGATGAAAGTCATGTTCCAACACTCAATCCCTTCCCTGAAACTCATTTCCACAAGTGATGATTTAATGATCTATTTACTTTAAAGGTTTGCCTTTGGGGACAATGATTATCCTGGTTAGCCCATTTGAAAGAATAGACATTTACTTTCATGAAAGAAAGTAAGGCTTTAGAAAAATCATGTGGGCTTTGAAAGCACATTTAATACAAAACGTGTTGAAACCTGTGGGTTGACTATCCCCAGGTAGGGAGGACCCACTGTATCTCTAACATACGAGAGCCACAGCACCTACAATCCTCAGATTCCATTGCTTAAACATGGGAACCAGCCAGCTGTGGAAGCAGTGTGGCTGAGGGCAAACTGCAGTTTTGGTGTTCCAAGTCAGCATGCGTGAGTAATAAAAGATAAAATGACAGAATTCTTATACGTGATGAATGCTTATCAGTTTTCCCTGATCACTGTGGCCCTACTGTTCATATCACATTATGTAAAACTGACTCAGTAGGAATGCAAACCTATGCCTTTTAATTTGACCTCTAATTTCGTTTTTATTCTGCACCTTTGAGAAACATCTGTCTTTAGTAATAACTTCCATGACTTCTTTGTATAGGTCATATACCTTATTACAATAAGAGATAATTTCCTATGTTTCCAACAGCAGAGTGCAGTATTTTGCAAGGAAAGGTGCCTTTGTGAATTAGTATATATTCCTTTCTGTTAAACTGTGCCTTTTTGTGCTCTTATAATACAGTTCAATCAGAATGTTTGCCAAACCCTTCTGTTATGAACGCTACATTAATATTTTCTAAAACTTAAATCAGAAATATGACTTCAACCAACTTCTGGGTTTAGTGAGAACAAAAGCAAGGTGGATTTTAGGGAGGGAAGGACCGTCTCTTTCTAGATGTCCGTCTCTACCCCAGAGCCACATTTGCGGCAGAAGATCTCCTTGTTCTGGGTCAGGAAGCCTTCCCCCACCAAGGAGACTGAGCACCTCCCGCAGTTAAAGCATTCACTGTGCCACTGGCGGTCCTGAAAGCAGATGAACTTGGCACCCTTGAGACCTGTAAAGGAATCGGAAAAAAAGAATAATCTTTTTTTTCAATGGATAGATTGAGCATTCTATCAAAAACGCTTTCAGAAACTGGACACGCAGCAGGACTATATTGAGGCAAGTCACAGAAAAAAAGAATGCTGCCCCTGTGGTTTTGTGTCCATCTGGGAATGTTACCCGTAAGCGAGTTCCACCGTTGAGATCTAGTCTGAGTCCCAGTGAAATTTTTCCATAATTACACAAGTTGGCAGCATTTGGATATAAAAACCACATGTTTTTGGAAACAGATGAGGACTGCTAAGGCAGTGCAGTGCAGGGTGGTGCAGTGGGAAGAGATACTGAAGTACAGGTACCTTTCTCCTTTTTTTCTTTGTGCTCTGTTTTCTGAGAGGCAGCCTTAGAGTAAAACAAAATAAAAGTGTGCTTCCTGGGCTCATATCTAGTGTTTTGATGACATTTAGTTCTCGTCCCTCCCTTCTTTTTCTATGTTTAAATTTTACTTAGGATAAAGTCCCATGGTCATAGTGTAGTTTGGGACGCAATCCCCAAAAGCCCCGAATAGAGAATTTCATCCAGAGTATCACATAGGCAGCCTAACCCAACCTTATCACCTTGTCCAGAGACAGCTCTAGCCCAGGCCTGCGGCAAAGGTCTGGGAATCTGATCCCTGAGACCTGGTGGTCCAATGATTGGTTTCCAAGAAGTACGTTGTCAGCCTCCACCACTTGGGCCTCACTGGGGCCCCACAGTGCTTCTAAGAAAGGTAGAATCTGAGTCTTAGGGAGACACTATCTCTATATCCTTCATATGAATTCAGGGTGCAGTTCGAGGAGGATTGTGAGGAGCTGTGAAAAGCAGAAACATCCAGAAACTGGGAATGGGTTGGGACAGCTTAGGTTTGTGTTGGGTTCTTTATTTATTTGCCAAGTTTTCTCTAAGAGAAAATCCTCTTGAGAAAAGCCTTAGAGAAAACCCTCTTGTTACCCATAGAGTGAAGTTAAAATAACTCATGTGCTGATTTTCATAGAATTTCCAAATATTCCATTTGGGATGGTGAAGCCGAAAGAGTGAATAAAAATTTTATTTCAGATAAACTCTCCTTAATTTATTATAATGAATTTTTATTTCCATCTTAGAAACATTATTTGATGTCTTTACATATAATTTACTAGGTCATAGATATATTTATATCAAATTGCTCTGCTTTCTTTAATTAAACTTATAGCACGTTATTTATGTTACTATCACCATTTTCTAATAAATCAATAATAAACCAATTAACCCTTTTAACATTATTCAAAACAGTAATAAGCTGAATACAAGAATAATGTTCTCTATATATGAAAATTATCTCTGTTCATATGTTCATAAAATTAATGACTACACATCTTGCACTTTGATGCTCATGAGTTTTTCTTGAGTTTATTGGTAATCCTTTACAAGTGATAATGTAAAAATCCTTCTAGAATTTTACAAAGAGGGAGAAAAACTGAAGCAATGGGTAGCAGTAATTTAAGAAAGGCTAGGCTGAACATATGATGTTTATAATTTTCTTCAATTTTAGATATGCCTATTTCCTCAGGTTGTGAAGAATGTCATCCAGGAAATAGGTCCTATTTTTATCTGGCTTCATTTATTTATTCCTGGAAATTCAGTAGAATGAGAACTAACATTTATTGAGCACTTGAAAATGAGTCCATCAATATTCTAAACCTTTTACCTCCTATTACTTCATACAGCTCTCACCTCACCTTCATGCTGTAGGTGGCATCACTAACCCCACTTTGCATACAAAAATTGACAGGGAGTTTTGACCACTTGCCCAAATACCCCAGCTGGTAAGTGGCAGATCTGGATTTGATCCTAGGCCATCTGGTTTCAGAGCCTGTGCTCTTAACTCCCCCAAATTAGCCCTGAATTTATCTTTTGTAAAAAACATAATCCAAAACATTAGTATCGCTTACTGAAGAAATCGTAGTATTTGAAATTCCTTGAGTCAAAATTAACAGAAATGAAAGAAAGCTCAGATGTGATCCTCTTCAACTTCTTATTTAAAAAATGAGGCTCGTGAGGACCTCAGGCATGACTGTTCACTGGGTGTCACACACTAGGTGGTGACAGGGGCATGACCGAGGCCATCTAATCCCTGGTCCAGGGCAATGCTCACTAAGTCAGCTGTGTCATTCACCCCAGTGTTAGAGGAGGAGGAGAAATACATAGCTTTACCTTGAGTTTGTTCAGATGACTGAAATTCGTTATGATGGGATTAAAAATTTATCTTACGACTTACAGATTTAGTTAATATATGGTAGTATTTTGAAAACTTTCCAACCTAGTTCCTTAGGGTCACATATTATTTGCATGAATATGCAACTTTCAGAAGATAAATATTTGACATTATAAAAATTCCCTGTGGTACATTAATTAAAATAGCTCAATTTTTTAAAAAGTACTGCTGTAGGACTTATATATAAGTATAAGAATTAGATTAAAAATATTGAAGTGAGCTTGAAGTTTTATTTTAGTCTCTGGTATCTCTCAGTCACAGAGCCAAAAGAAGATTAAAATAATTAGCAAAAGACTTATCATTCTAAATTAAATACACTGTCTTCCATTTGGTTTACTTTTGGGTCAGATCTCTAGCTTCTGATCCTCCTGCTACAGGCAGAAACCATGTGCATTTGCTGTGGTCTGAACCTTAAACAGCTGGGCTCAATGATTCGCCTGCAACTGTCTGTGAGAAAAAAATCTGTCATACATCAGAATTGAACCTCGTCAAGTTCAGGGCTCATGTAGGCTCTTTACAGATGAGTATTTGCCATTTCAGTCCCCAGAAAGTTTTCAAATCCTTTTTGAGTCACTTAATTTTCTCATTTCCTCATGGAAACCCATCCCCCACCTTTTTTGTGACTAGTTCAAGAAGAACATTCTAGACTAAGTTGACTGAATCTGTTGGGTTGTGATTGCAGATCCTACCAAGTAGATTTTGGAGGTCCAGGTGCATTTCTGCATACCCTATTTTCTAGATAAAATCAGTGAAGACAGTGGCTTTTTCTCTTGACTGCAGGAGTTGAAGATGTGGAAAGGGCAGGAAGTAGAGTGGAGTCCAAGCTTTGGAGCCTAAGCTTCGGAGAGTTCCAGCTTTGGAGTCTGATTGGAATTGCCAAAGCAAGTCCTTGAAAGGGCCGAAGGGTGATGTAGGTGAGTGATGACAACAAGTTGTGAGGAACAGAGAGGACACCCCCTGCGCAGTGGGGCAGCCACTTAGCTCCATGACACGGTGAGCGGGCTGTAGAAGGTAAGGGTTGTCTGCTCACACTCTGACAGGATTTTACGTTATATCACATTAGACTCTTTCCAAACGTGTGCAGGCCACACGAAACATGCCTGCCGGCCCGATGTCCCCTGCGGGCCACTGTCACGTTCTGAAAAGTGTGCTGCCCCTTGGAGACAAGTAGGGCTGTACTCTGTGTGCCCAGGCAACTCTCTGTCCCCACTCGCAAGTCAGTAGAAGCCCGCCAAGCTGGGTGTGCAGCAAAACTGTTCTCCTTCTTCACAGATTCATGAAGATGCAACCTTCATGCTGTGATGTACTTAAAGATGGAAGAGAAGGGGAGGGATATAATGATCTGAGTGTTACATACACTGAAAGAGAAAATATAATCCTAGATTCCTAGGGATGGGAGTTCTTCCACCTTATTCAGTGACAAAAGAATAGCTGCTGGATTTCTCACGGGCCATGTTAGCTTTAGCTCTTTTACTGTAGCAGAAACATTTTAAAAGGGTCCCGGAGTAAAACATGTGTTTTTTTTTTAAGATTTTATTTATTTATCTTTAGAGGGGAAGGAGCGAGGGAGAGAAACATCAATGTATGGTTGCCTCTAGTGCATCCCCTGCAGGGAACTGGCCTGCAGGGAACCTGCCTGCAACCCAGGCATGTGCCCTGACTGGGAATCGAACCGTGATCCTCTGGTTCACAGGCCCGTGCTCAATCCACTGAGCTACATCAGGCACGGCTGTGTTTTTTTTTTTTTTTACCTTGAAAATCTACTTAACACAGTGATTTGCCATTTATGTTATCCACAAACCATGTTGCAAGTACTTTGTTTCTTCAGGAGAAGGGCCACCTTGTTTTACTTCATCTATTCATAACTAAAACTTACGTCAAGGGAAGAGAGAGTAAAGAGAGTACATTTGTTAGAAGCGTATTAAAATGAAGTTTAATTAATTCCTATTTGTCCTAATTAGTACAGCCTTGGGTTTTTATACAATACCTACCTTTAATTAAAATTTTTTCCATTTTAAGTTCCCTTCACCCTTGTTTGGAATTCATCAGGGTTTTGATTTCCAAGTACCCCTCCCTCCCACTCAGATCCTTAAAGGTTTTGGCTCAGATCAGTCCTCCTCATGAAGATCTTCTCTGACTGCTCAGTTCATCCTGTTCTCTTCTTTCTCTGAACTATTACTTTAGTTGAGCATCAGTACCATTAGGCTTAGCATTAATTACTCTCTACAGAACAGGGCAACCCTAATTATACTCTATACTTATCTTGAGTGGTCTGTGTAATATTTGTGTTTACACATTTTGTGTTTATCTCAAAAAGGAATATAAGGAAAAACTTACCCATCTTTTACCTTGCATTGTTGAAATGAACTATATAGCATTAACAAAGTCACAGCTGTCTCGTGGGAGGACTGTATTAAGACTCACCGGTAATGGGTTTGGTGCAGGCCGCACACTTTTTGGCATAAAGGTGGTCGTAGCAGTCCAGGCAGAATGGATAACCATCTCTGGACATGAACTCTTCTTCACAGAGCTCTTTCCTACAGCCACTACACAGAAAGCACTGTTTGTGCCATGGCTGGTCACGAAATGTTATCCCACCTGAAGTTATCACCTGCCAAAGGATCACAGAAAAGGTAGTAACCGTGGGGGTCGTGTTGCGATTCTATGTCCACAAGTGGTTCTGCGGCCTCCTCAACCACTCTGTGTCAGGCTGCCCTTTTCCTGTGACCTTTTGAACTGCTATGGGAAGCAGGAAGCTATAGGGATTAAATGGAGCTGGTGATACATATCCTAATTTTTCTCCCACAATGGAACAGAAAAGAAGAGGGCCTTAATGGATCCAGAAAGATAAAAAAAGTTGGTTGTGGCTTCCTTGGTTCATCTTTCTGTGACCTTGTTGTTGGTCTTCAAAGATCTGACATTAGAACTAAGACATTTTCTATCCTGTGTTCCAGGTTTACCCTTTAAGGAGGCTGAAAACAAACAAACAAACAAATAAAAACAGCTCCCCCCCAAGGCTTTCTCCATGTTCCACAGGATCCAGCAGTAACAACCTTGAATGGAATTGATAAGCACCATTGTCTGCTAATTATGACTAAAACTTCTTACCCGTTTTTTTAGTCCTCAGCTAAGGAATGACCTCTAACTATTCTCAACATCTCTACACAGGAGGGATATTATTACCTTTACCCTTTAAAAGATGAAGAACTACTTGGGGTTTGAGTGGGTGTCACTCACCAGGGTTTCACAGAACTGGCACTCACATCTGTATAATCCGACTCTACAGCCTGTGTGCTTAAACATTATTACAATACTGAGGCAAGATAGCTTTGCAATGGTAAACAGTTGAGTTCTTGTCGGATGAATAAATGAATGAACACCAAGAAGAAGTGGTGTTTGGAAAGCAATCCCAGGATTATATCTAGCACAGAAGGACCACTGTGGGCACCTGTGTGAGTTTTCCACATCAGGACTCGAAGTAAGGAGCGCTGGGTGTCCACTGAGCCTCAATGCATGACATGCTATTGTTTTGTCAGAGATGGTTATTATTCTTCCATAATATAATATTTTTAAACCAGTTTTAATCCATGGATTCTACTTTTTAAAATGCAGAGGTATCTTTATTTAGAATCAGACGGGTGAATGCTGGACAACTCTTCCTGTGTAACAATTTTTAAGTCATAGCATCTTTCAGAACCACGCTATTGACTTGAGGCCATTGTGGAACTTGGAATGTGTTCGTGTTTGAGAATGACTGACACAGCGTTGTGTCTGAGATGGCTCTGATAACCTTTGCATTTAAATTAACTAGATACAAAAAAGTACAGCCTATTCTAGGTCATCAATCATATCACTGACAGATTTAAAAAATGTTGTTTGTCTGTGACAGAAGGCTTTTAAACAATTATTCTAAAGACATTTTAAAATCTAACAACAAATATCTAAAAAATTAAAGGTATTTGGAAGAAAATTTATTTTTCCTAAAGGAAAGAAAAACTATACTAAGTAAATGAGAAACATAATGATGTGTGGGAACAGGAGCAATTTAAAATACTCCCTGCGGCCTTCAAATGCCTTCCATGAGGCCCAGCAGGGTTCAAGAGTCCTTTCATTTGTTTGGTCACAGATTAGCAGGCAATGCTTAAGAGACTCAAACTTGGAAAAATGTGTTCACAGCAAAATAAAAATATACACACCACAAAGACTGTTTAATTATGGAGAAGACACAGTGGAACATTAAAAGGAGTTTGCTTGTGTTCCTTCCAATAGATTCCCAGAAGTGGGATCGCTGGATCAAAAAGCAGATCCATTTTTAATTTTTGAGGTATCTCCATACTGCTTTCCACAGTGGCTGCGCCAGTTTTCATTTCTACTAGCAGTGCAAAAGGGTTTCTCTACATCCTCACCAGCACTTACTGTTTGTTGGATTATTGATGACAGCCATTTTGACAGGTGTGAGATTATATCTCATTGTGGTATTAATGTGCATTTCTCTGATAATTAGTGATGTTGAGCATCCTTTCCTATGTCTATTGGTCATCTGTATGTCCTCTTTGGAGAAGTGTCTATTTTGAACACTAATTCAAAAGAACATAACCACCTTTATGTTTATTGCAATGTTATTTACAATTGCCAAGATATGAAAGCATCCAAAGTGTCCATCAGTAGAGCAGTGGATAAAACAACTATGAAACATTTGCACAATAAAATACAACTCAGCTGTAAAAAAAAAAAGAAGAAATTTTTACCCTTTTTGACAGTGTGGATGGACCTGGAGAATTTCATGTTAAGTGAAATAAGCCAGTGAGAGAAAGACAAATACCATATGATTTCACTCATATGTGGAATCTAATGAACAAACTGAGCTAACAGGGAAAATGGGGACAGACCCATAGATGGAGATCAGATGACAGCTAGTGGAGGGGCAGAGGGATTGAGCAAAAAGGAGAAAGGACTCATGGGTAATAGTGTGGTGATTGCTGGAGGGAGGGGAAATGAGGAGCCTAAATGGTCATGGGAAAAATACAACAGAGATTACATTAAAAAAAGAATTTCATGACAATCAAAAAATAGTTTACTTGTGATTATGTTCCTTTTGAAGAGGAAGGCGGGCTAAAATGAATCTAATATCAGGATTTGTTTTTTTACCACTGATTATTTCCAAGATTTAGAATAAGTTTCTTTGTGACAAAGTGGAAACACAATGATTTTACACCCCGTACATGACAGCTGATGAATCGCAGAATACAGTATTTGAATCTTGAGAAGCTTGAATTCAAAGCACTGTTTGAGGTTACTTGTTGTGTGGTAGAAAATAAATTTTAGTTTCACAAAACAAAACCTATGAAAAAGGTTCTAAGGGTTTGAGTGTCAAGTAGTTTTTGCCTGTTTGTTGTTTTATATATTTGCTCTTTGGCTGGGTTGAAATGAATTGTTTTTCTTCAGCTGGGATTGTCTTGATGAGAAACATTTATGTCCACCTTTCCTTAAAGGACTTGTGGCTTAAAAAACTAAATAGGAAATAGCCTGGCATGCCATGATCTCTCTATTGCGCAGTATAAACATTTCATAAACTTTTGGTGACCTCAAATCATGGCCTAAATATAGGACAGGCTCCCATAGGCTGGGAAGTGCCCATGCTTTGGGCCCAGGCAGCGCTTGGCAGGTGATTAACTGGAGAAGTTCCCCTCTGAAGCCTTGCAGTGAGTGTCACAGCAACGTTATATCGTGTACCCAGTAAATGCCTTTAAGATATTTTCCATACATCTCATTAACATTTTAAGGTAAATCTTTAAGAAACAGCCTAAAATGGCCCACTTTTTTGTCCCTCAAAATAGTGAAATAAATCCATTTTTATTTCCAACATCTGTTTCTAAATGGATGTAGTTGACTCTGGTGACTTTTTGGAGCTTCAGCTGCCACAGGGTTATAGGGTTTGGCTGTGGCCGTTAAGGTCATTTTTCTCAGTCATGTTTCTGGCAGTGCAATGGAAGTCCCTGGGTATAGGATGTCATGGTACTATGGTTTGTAATTTTCAACCATCATTCTAGTATAACTTAAGAATTATAATTCAGGGGTTTATATAACTTAGGGGTTGATGACTCTTCAGATGCAGTAGTATTATATATATTATATAATATTTATTATATAATTTATTATATACAATTACGTTGTGTGTGTTTATGTGCACGTATGTTTACACATGCATTTCTAGAAAGTGGCAAAGAGCCTTCTAGCTGTCCGGATGCAAGGACACAGAAAACCTGAAGAGATCCGCCACAGGCATCCATGTATCAGAAGTGTTTAGTAATCACTGTACTAATCCAATATATTTTCACGATTTAGCTTTCTTGTCACAATTTATAGTTCTATTTTAAACTTATGATGCCTCGCAGGTCAAGGATTTTTTTGAGAACATCAATATACATGTCTTATGGACTAGAGACAGGTTTTATCAAAGTGATAGAGTGGCTTTCACAAAAAAACTTAGAAGATAAGAAAGAATGAGACAAACTTTACTTTAGAAATTCACTTTTTTCTATTGGAAAATATGTTTGAAATGGGTATCCAAGTCAAAAGGCCCCACATGATATTCTCTGGTACTGGAAGGGAGAGAAACCACTCAAAGCATTTAGCCCTCCTCCTTTCTGTCTCATGAGTCTGCCTGACGATCCCATCACTCTCTTGAGCCTATCTATTTACTCTTTAGAAATATAACATCCTTAAGCCAAGAAAACATTTGCTTTGCTGAGACACAATGTGAGGAAGTGAAATTCTTTTTTAATTGGTTCACTTTATCACTCTGAGAGAAATCTGTATTTCTCTGAAATTAGGTGGATTGAAAGTTACTTTCTTTGCAATATTTTGTTCAAAGAGAGATGTGTGTTCTATACTAGAATACATGGAATCTAGTGTAAAGCAATGACCGGAACTGGCATATCAAGTCACTTGAGATTTTGGAATATTAAATCATGTTCTGGGTGGAATTTTATGGTAATGAGGAGAGAAGGCCATCCTCGCAGACACAGGTTGGACGCACTGGAATTCACACTAGCGTGAATGTATAAAGACAGGAATAGTATGGTAGTATCAGTTCATTTCGAATGTATAATGCAGCTAGAAAAGCAGAGTGATCTGGAAGATTCCATAAGCTTCATTCTCTTTAGACAATTACCTTCTTACAAAAGCTGCAGTAGTGAGCAAACTCCTTCTCAAAACACCGCACACAGTAATTGCCACTGTCTTTGGAGATCAAAGGTTTAGTTCCTATGGGCTGTCGGCAATGCTCACACACAAAGCAGGTTTCATGCCAGTAGTTTCCCTTAAATTCCATTTTGCGGGAACCTGTACCCCCAAAGTAAGAACCTGTTAGTACAAATCAAGCATAACTTAATCTTCTTTTAAGCAAAGATATATCAAAGTACTTAAAAATCTATTTTAAAGTTAAGATAATAAACTAATTGTCCTTATAAAAATAATGTTTTGTTGGTTTCCAAAACATTTATCTGGAAAAAATATAGAGCTCTGCCACAATGATGGTTGATCTCACTTCCACTGAAAATCTTATGCTCTGTAAACTACGATTTTGAGATTTGATAGTATTGTAAGTAGGGACTCTGAATTCAAGGCTGCATTGGTTTAGATAAATTAGGCCATGTTATGGGAACATTAGGGATGCCAGGGCACTTGACTTCTGAGATTGATGATGTGCAGTTCTGATCTCCCAAAAAGTCTTTGAATCCGTAATAAGAAAATAAGAGAATCGTGATCTTACATTGCTGTCTATACAGATTGAGAAGAATATCAAACCAGATAGAATTAGTGCTGGCCTAAAAGTGTAACGCAGATAACAACAAGAGATAACAACAAAGGTGTTTATCTCAGAAGCAGGATTTGGTTGCTGGCTGCTAAACTCTCCCCGCGCTTGGGCTTAACTCAAAGCATTGCAGTTTCAGTTAGAGAGCCGGCCCCCCTTTGATCTTACCAGGCATGATGGTCTTCTTGCAGTGGAAGCACTTGGAGGAGCATTCGTTAGAATAGCACTCTGAGCACAGCAGGCGCTCATCCTTGGCAGCAAAAGGCTTTTCCACCAAAGAGTGATTGCACTTGGCACAGTTGAAGCATCTTTCGTGCCAGTGCCGGCCTTTGTAACAAAGATCCTTCGAGACAGTGGAGAAGTTAATTAAATGTGTTTGTGATAAAGCAGGCTATTTTATAAGACACAACCAATACTTCTAGGACTTGGGTGCCAGTAGGTTGTGCTGGTAGGTCAAGGAAAAGCTGCTATTGATACTATTACTTGTAGAGAGGAGACACCCTAGGCAATTAAGAGTGACAGCTTGGGGCTTTCTGGGTTGGTCACCAAAGACGGATGGAAAATAAATGGACCCCCTCCTCTTTCTTCAAGTTTTCTCTACCTTCCTTTTATAAACAAGAGAGGTTTTTCATGGAACAATCTTTACTTTTAGATCGTCATATCTTATTGGTATTTGACACTTAACTGAACTAAATCTCAATAGCACCTAACTAAAAAAAAGACAAAAAACAAAAATATAAGAAAGAAGAAAAATGACAATAATGTGTTTTGTGGGAGGAATGAACTGTACATGTGATGGTATCAGGGCAGGATAGGGGTGATGAGGCTGATTTGAAATTAGAAAAATATTGATTTTTGAATATGTACAAATCCAATATCTGCGCACTTATTCGTTTATATTCCTGTGATTTCAGAAGTAATGCAACATTTTATCTGTGTAACTTTGGACAGATAACTTAACCTCTTTAATATTTAGCACCCTAACCTATCCCTTAAAGTCATTGTGAAGATAAAATTATGTGTTATATTTCATAGTGCTAAGCATAGTGCTTGGAACTTGATTGACGGTGACTTTGAAGATCCTTATACCCCATAGCAGCACAATAGAATATCTACAGTTAACTAAAGGAAAGAGGCCATCCAGAGCTTTTGTCTGCTGTTCATATGCAATAACTCTGTGAACTGAGGTAAGACCTACCTTGGAATCTGATTCAATTGCTTGTTTGCACTCCTCACAATAGTTACAAAAGACACGATCATAACAGGAAAGGCAGTATGGATTGCCCTCCTTTAGCATAAACTTCTTCCCAAGAAGCGACACTGTGCAGTATTGACAGTTAAATTGAGAATTTGTCATTTTGCTTCGATCCTGTGAATAAGAAAATGATTCAACATATATAAAGGCAAATTTTGTTGATTAGAGACATTACAAAACCTCAATATGAGTCCAGCACTGGAATGAATTGATATTTTCTTAAGAGAAAATTCACCAATTTAGGAAAATATGCTGTAGTCATGGTTACACGCAGAGTGAATTAAGAAAGGCTACTCTCCTGTACTGGTAGTTCCTTTGTATTTTGCTAACAGAATGCATCAAGCCACCAGCCAGACTGTGAAAACTATCTTGCATTCATCATTCACTAAACATGGGATTCAGTGAGAATATGATGTATTGAAATAGAATGATTTCACCTCAAGGATATAAACATGAACTGTGGACAGGGCTTTCACCATGTGTCATCACTTACTTTCTTGCTGGAGAGTTCTGGAGGCGGAATTCCATGGAAATAAAAACAGTCTTTTTCACTCTAGATGTAATAGAAATTATTAATCGAGTACATTGCATTTTCCAGGCCCTTGTTTAATTCTTAAATCTTGATTGGGTATCTAATGATTTGGACACATGAGTCCTAAGATCTTCCTGTACCATATACTCTCCCTTGAGACATGCTCCCTGCCAGTGACTTCGAACATTTTGTTGACTCTAAAATCTCTAGCTTTAGCCTATTTATGACTTGCCTCCTGGGCATTTTCATCTAAATGTCCAAGCTGGCCAAATGGAACTCCTCTGATGGTAGGATTCAGTGCACATGCCAGGTCTTTGTGACTACAGTTGAACAACTGCCCAGGTTGAGAAGTGCAGATAAAGCCGCCAATGGTCAGAAGAGCTATCATGCATATAGAATGAATAATAGCAGCAGCATCTTACAGAATGAAAAGCTGATATGAAATATAAAGCCAAGGCCAGGGTGAGAATTCCAGTTATTTTGTATGTTTAGAAAAACCATTACAAAAGAAAATATAGATTTCAGAATGTTTACTCAGACATCAAGCATGAGTTTTTCACTACCGTCAAGAACAGTAGCACTGATTTGCTTCAAAAGTGAGATTTGTCATCTCTGGCTTTACTGAGATGTATTGAGAACTACGAATGTTTTCTAATTTTCCATCTCAGAATTTTTTTAAATTTTAGAAAAATCAGAAGATCAATGACTATGCTGCTTTTTACAGCATTATAAATGCTACTTTTTAATTGCTATATGTGAATTGTATTCCTACATTTTGCCATATTTGATTTTAATGATGACATTTCCAGCAGAGCATCTTGCTGAATGTACATTGTCACTGATTCTGTGTATAGCAGTTTTGCAGTATTGTTCTTCACTAAAAGAGAAAAGACTGTGAATTTGGAACCTGAGAGTCTCTTCACAGGAAAAATGAAAATTCAGACTAAAAAGTTCCCAATGGAATATCCCAAAATTATCTGCAGGAAACATTGAATTTTATATTTGATTAATTTTGCAGAAGTGCCCCTTCCTAGTGAGTACAAGAACATTTAATGTGTGAATGAGGGATGGGAAACAGATCTGATTCCCTTGAAGAGTTTTAAAATGCAAGGATTATTTCCATTTACAGTGATCAAGTGTTATCTCTTAATAGTGAAATAGGGCATACCTTTAACTTTTATCACTTAAGATAGAAAACACCACTTTCCTCATGAATATTTAGTTAGTTCTAGATGTATATAAAAGCACTGTGAAGTGCAGCCTGTTAGGACTTGGGAACTCCCAGACTGCTTCCATTTTGTAAGGCTTCTAGTATATTATGAAATGAAGAAATGACCAAAGGATTACAAAATTGGTAGAGGGTTTCAAATATGTAAGACAGGTTTAATTTCTTTGGTCAAATTATTATTTCTTATGCTTCACATGTATATAAAAATATTCTTTTATACATATGTGATGCTTTATTTTTAAAAGGTTTTAAAAAATTAGGGGGTGATAAATGAGTAGAAATGAGTATGTGTTAAACCATCCTTTCTTTATGTTTGTCAACAGGGGGATAATCCAGATGGTTCTAGCATGTCCAGTACAGGTTTTGCATGCTAATTGTGGTCACGAAAACTGTCCTAACAAGGAAGATTTGGGGTGCTGTGGGCTGATGCAAAGGGTCGATGGTTGAGGGGGACCACTTGAGAAGCAAGAGAGGGAAGGGGGAGACGAGTTCCCCCTTTGTCTCTCAGAACTCAGTTTACCATGGCAATGTGCAAAGCAAGGGCATGGTTGCAACATACAGGAGCTTCATGCATAACCCTTACACAAATTAAGGACAAGCTGATGGGTCCTATTACTTTCCTGCTGGAGATTACAAGTTTCAAAACTGAGAGGACCTTTCTTCTTATGGTGGAGTTGAAATGTACTAGATATAGTATGGGCATTTTGGTTTCCAATGTATCTATCTGGATGTGTTTTTGAGGAATTTTATTTACTTGAGGGAATTGAAGCACCATATATCCTTTATTGTAAATATCAGTGATAAGTTAGTACATTGATTCACTTATAGTTTTTTGTTCCCCATGGAGTCGGGTAATGGTAGTACTATATAAAATCATCACATTGATTACATGTCTTAAAGTAGAGGATATATAGTAGGTGGAATCTAAAATTACTTCTATCTCTAATACTTGATTTATAAATTTTGCAAAATAGATGCAAATGATACCATAGCAACTACTTTTGCACATATGTCAAAGTGTGCTGTTCTTTACAGTTTGTTTTTTTGGCTTAATTTTCATCTGGCTATTCACAGCAGCTTCACTCTGCCGTCATAAGGCATCTATGTTCATCCCAAAGTGCTGCATGAGCATTTCAACTGCGCATTCAGGTCTTTCATTGATTCTCTAAAGCAAATTTAATTCTGCTTTTTTTTCAGGGTAGAATGTGAAAGAATTTAAATCTAAATGACATAAGGAATATTAAAATGCTCCTGGAAAGTGTTACTACAAAATACTGAAGTCTTTGAAACATATTTGATTGATGTACTGAACTTGGATGGAGACAGGCACTGAATGCAGAATATTTTTTTAATTTTGATGATAGAATTTTATTTTATTTTTTGCCTCTTTATCATTTTTATTGTTATTCTATTAGTTGTCCTAACTTTTCCCTCTTTGCCCTCCTCCATCCATTCCACTCCACCACTCCCACAGTCAAGGCAGAATCTTAATTTGAAATGTGTTTAATTGAATTTACTTGTGGGCATTTTATCATTTAGGGTTTTATAATTTGAATTGCTGCTCTGAGGGTAGACAGGGGGTTGATGGCCAGTCAAGAGCATTTTGGAAGCCTCATTGAACAAGGTAGTATATTGCTCTATGCTTTATAAAGAGTTACAGAAACCATTACCATGCACAGTTATATAAACGACATAATCTCCTAAGGCAACTCTTTCAATCATTCTCTTTTCCGCCTTCCCTGCCTGCCCTATCACACATGTTTATTGGGTACAACACATCCTATTGATTCCACTTCAGAAGCATCCCTCGAATCTTAATCTAGGCTCTCCTTGTATCTTTGATGGACCGCATTAAACTGAAAATACTATTAAAGATTTCTTACTCTGTTGAGTGGAACCAAATGCATTTCTACTATGTGACTTTTGTTCTCTGATGATAAGCTCAATACTCACAGGGAATTCCAGAACATCCTACACAATACTTAAGAAAAATCTTTCTCAGACTCATCTGATTATCTCCCTTCCCTGGAATAAAGCCTCCAACAGCTCTTCTTTGATTGTGAAACAGTCTCAACTTCATTACCTAGCACAGAGACCCTGTTGCAACTTTCCTACTTTTCCTGCCATTTCTTTATCCCTTTCCCAACCTTGCACTGTGTGGCACACACATACCCCACCTGTGCTTTAGCCACTTCTCATGACTTCCTATTCTTCAAATTCATTGTGTGCTTTTATGCCTTTGGGCCTTCACACATGCCTTTTTTTTCCTCTAATGCCTTCCTCCTTGTAGTCCATTGACTGTCCACCTGATGATTTTCCTTATTAATTAAAGTCTAGTGAGAAATCCTTCTCAGTAACTTTCTCACATCTCTCGGGCCAGAGTAGCTGCTCTGATTATGTCTATTTTTCTTGTGCCATGTTTTGTATCAGTTGTTTTGCCCTGTGTGTTTCTCTCTCACTGGTCAGTTCCTCAGGAGTAAGGATATCACTCATTTCATCTGAGTGTCTCAGGTCTGAGCCCAGCAGGGCCTCAGAATATGCTCTGTGGCTGAAGAAACGAATGGAGAACTTCCGGTTCTCTCAGGGCTTGAAGTCCGACGTGAGCATTAATGAAAACACACACAAAGAGAATTAGATCATTAGAACAGAGGGTAAAGGCTCAAGCATAAAAGAGGTAAGAATTGGTATGCTGCATGTTTACTTGAATAGTGAATTAATTGATGTCTATTATATCTGTGGCAGACTGAGAAAGAAGGTTAGAGAACAGAGGGTAAAGCCTAAGGGCCTGTCCTTGGCAAGGAGGGTTCTTTTACTTTCCCTGTGAGGACAGTTGAAGACGACAGCTAGCCTGTCTTTGAATACCAGCTGAGGGGGATATCAAAGAAACAGCAGAAGTAGATCCTTAATCCGCGGACATTATTAAAGGGTTTTTTCTAAACTAGTGGCACAAATAAGCTTTCACCAACAGTTTTCTGACTGTTTGATCAGACACTTCAACCCTCTGTTGGAAGCTGTACCAAGCTTTCTGGGTCTGTGCACATGACATTTTGAGACAAACTGTGTCTTTCTCAAGATGGCAACGTCTTTGTCTCCTGAGATCTGTGCTATTAGCTGGAGGGTTGTTTCACTGAATCTGACAAAATTTAGGGCAGTTAAGATATATGAAAAATGTGTTTAGGTCATGTAGACAAGGCCAGATGAGATAAGTACATGTTCTATAGCAGAAAATTTAAAATTCACGTATTTAAAAATATACAAAAAACTAAGACAACCAGTAAAGAAGTTCTCCTTTTACACCTTACTTTCACTTCTTTTCCTGGTTCTGAGGGTGGAGTTGAGCAGGCCTGTGTGTATTCCTCATCTGTTGTTTGCTTGGAACCCGAGACGTAACGTACTGAGAGAAATACTGGGTTAGAAGTCAGACGCTGTAGATTGCTCCACCAGGTGCTTTAGCACTGGTTGGTGCCTAACCCAGTCAGTGTTATGGCAACCATTTAACCTTTCTGTCCCTTACTTTTCTTTTTTTAAAAAATTTTATTTAATTATTTTTCAAGTACAGTTTTCTGTCTATTTCTCCCATCACAGCCCATCCCGCCCTGTGCTCCCCACCTCCCTCCCATTTCCATCCCCCTTAGTTCTTGTCCTTGTGTCCTTCATACTTGTTCCTCCAAATCCCTCCCCTTTTTCCCCCTTAAATCCCCTTCCCTCTCCCCTCTGGTCACTGTCCCCTTGTTCTCTATTTCAGTGTCTTTGTTTTTATTCTGCTTGCTTGTTTGTTTTGTTGTTTAGCTTC